CTCAGCCTCGGCCTGTTAGCATCTGGGGCTGCTTTCCTGCACGAGTTAGGGGGTCTGGCAGCAACCTGGCCTCCATCACTACCTGCAGTAGCCACTTCCCAGTGTGACATTCAGAGTATTCCCAGACATTTCCAAATGTCCCCTGAGAGGTAAAGTCACACTATGTTGTCTTCCACACTGATGACATCACTGCTAGTGCACATGCAAGATGAAAATTGCTTTGTCCTATGTCCTTAAGTATGCTTTATATTAGGACCTGAATGTTAGCCTTTCTAAATCATGGTTTCTCTAGAAATGCAAAATGCATAATACCCTTCCAGTTTTTCATTTTCATTCAGAAAAAGCATAAAATCTCTGGCACCTTGCCTATTAAACCGTCAAAATACACTTTTAATAGCAGAGAGGTATATTCATAATTTAATTGTACAGTCAGTTTTGCTTTAATGTCACATATGTATGTACTCCTAAAATAAATCACTTCTCACTGGGCAGTAAAAAGGGGATCTTATGAAAATGGATTTAGGAGCAAATCACTCAAAAAATTTCATTAGTGGCACATAAAAATAAAGATGGGAGCCTGATGTAAGGTTTTCACATGTGATAAATGGATAAAATACAAAAATAATACAAAAACATTTTGCCTCAAAAAAGACCTACAGTTTGCTTGTAGAAATGATCTTGGAAGGGTTTCATTTTGGCTTGTGAGTTCTTAGTGTCAGAAGTAGGGGTCTGAAAATAGACAGAAAAGTCTGTCACTCCCTGTCGGGGGATGTGTTTCATACACAGGCAATGAACTGAAGTGGCTGGTAGCTATTTGAGGTGTACAGAGCCTGGCTAGGCAGTTACATTTTCTGCATTCAACTAAGGTTCCTAAAGACGCTGTTGTGTTGTTTTTTTTTTTTTTAATGTATTTATTTATGCATACAAGAACTGGGATACAGGCCAGAGGTGTGGAGGTGAGAGAGGATTCACCAGAGACCGAGTGAGGAGCAGAACAGGTAGGTCAGGTAGATCTACTGAAATACACTGCTGGAGAAGGCATCGGGTGGAACAGAAGTCTGCTGTGCCATGTAGGTCGCCCCGGCCCAGGATTAAACTCATGCTGCAGTGGCTGCAGATAACTTCATAGTGCTGTGTTTTAATTCATTGTGCCACCAGGGAGGGCCCACCATTGTGCTTAAATGCAAAATTTACATACCTTCTACATCATGCCCTAGTCTGTGAATTGCATTGGAATGCATTTCTATACAACGATAGTGGCAAAACTGAGAGTCCTCTTGATCTGAATCTTGTGGCCTTTCAAAGAAAGAGCTATGGAGAGGATGGCAAGTGTACTGTGAAGCTTTGGAAGTAATGTACAGGCTGACTTTGAAAATAGGGTCCCTGTTTTGGTCCTTCCCCTGGTCCTGCCTATGCTAGTAACAGGTCTCCACTTTCTAGACCAGCTGTACCCCCAGGGCCCAGCTGCTAGAGCTAGGCAGAGTACCAGGTTTCTGTACATTAACTGAGGTGGCTTATGGAAATAGATCTTTTTTAAGTCTTTTTGGGTATTCATTTATGTTACTTTCATTCACTGGCACTCCGTGTTTAACACAGAGTTATTTTTAGTTGTAGTGGCTGATTTAGAAATCATGTTTCTCCTTTACCGTCACAGTGTAACATTGGTATAAAAAGGAAGCATCAATGCTGACATGTTAACCTGTTCTAGAAGTTAGTAATAAGCCAAAATGCTTCCAGGAGTGGATGGGGCTTCTCATAGAGGGGAAATGGTTGTAGTAACAGTCAAGTGAGAAGTCACCGAGTGAAGGGATCAAGGGAAGAGGGGCATGGGCCCACAGTAAAACCAGGTGAAAGTTCTTTATCAGTCTTTTCACAACAGGGAATCTTACTGTTGGTTTCTTAGGATGGGTGGTTCGGCCCTGCCCAAAGTCACACCCACATTAAAGAGGACAGGATAGTAACCAAAACTGAGATTTTGAGAGTGTTGGTTGTCTAATGTCGGGATCAGTGAATGAAAGTTTGAAAAAACTTGAGTTTTTCTGCAGTGGCTTTCTTGGAACCATTTTGTTATAAATCCAGTAGTGTCACTTGTCGTGTAAAGAATGATTTTAAAATTCACATATACAGGTTTAAGTTTTCTACATATTTAAAGGTTCATTTGTAGAAGAGCAGTGCAGATTAACAATCCTAGGAGGTTGTCAAAAATTGCCATGTTTAAACAGTTCAGGCTGGAGTTAATATTTTAGTTTGGCATACTTGTAACTTACTTTAATCTGTTTTGGATGAAATGGTTAGGAAACATTACACTGAGTTTCCTGTTTGCTAATAAGTAAGTTATTTTGTTATGGCCATTTTAAAATTCTCATTACTTGTTAACATCTCCATCATGATTGACTACATCGTTTAAAGTATGTCATTGTGCAGATTTTGGACTGGTATTTTTGAAAATCCACTGTCTGTTTTTTCTTTCTTTCTTAATTTAATCACCAAGACCAGATTTTAGGAGTATTGTCTAGCATTGGGATAAGTGAATGAGAATTTGAGAATATTTGGCTCATTTCTTATTACAATTAGATTTATGTCATGGGGAAAGTTCCTTTCACTAAAATGACTTTCCCTGTAGATGTCATATGAATTTTCATATCAGCTTAACATACCATCAAATAAAACTTTGGATACTCTGAAGGAGCAAAAGAAGAATGTAACTATACTTCCACTCCACAGTAGTACCAATCGTGGTGTCTTAAATTAGAGGGGATGCTAAGATTTTTACTTAATTTTACTTTAAGACACTAATCTTCTTAAAGATGAGGCCATCTTAAATAGCTTAAAGATGATAAAAATGCCTATCTCATTGAATTAGCATCTACTTTATGGGAAAAGAATGTTTGGATTTTTTATCCCCTAGGTATTATTGATTAAATATCATTGCCTTCTGTTGTAGAGTAGGCATCAAATCTGCTCAGTGTGCAGGTCAACATAGTCTCTTAGCCCTTAATCACCACAGAACCATGCTGTGTAATTTAGAGCTTCATGAATACTAAGATTGGAGTCTCTTCCTCCCAGGCAAGATGACACAATGTTAGGGGAATAATACCATATGTAGAAGACTGCAGATTTTTCAGTTTTGTTCTTTTTTTTGTCACTTTTTTTTTTAAGATTCATTTATTTATGCACACAAGAACTGGGGTACAGGCCAGAGCCACAGGGTTGTGAGAAGGTTCACCAGAGACAGTGTGGGGAACAGAACAGGCACATTGACTGAAACACTACGGAGGGAGCAGTGGGCAAGACAGGGAAGGTCTGCTGTGCCGTGTGGGTCACCTCCCCAGCCAGGGGTCGAACTTGTGCTGTGGTGGCTGCGGATAGCTTCAGAGTGCTGCACTTTTACCCATTGCACCATCAGGGAGGGCCCTGTTGTTCTTTTATATAAAGAATTTTTATGTTTATGTTCTATCTACCACTTATCCAACTCTATCTAGCTTTTTACTGTTCTTTCCCTAGGAGAAACTTAAAAAAAAAAAAAAAAAAGATGTCATTCTCCTTTGTTTTTTACTGAAGTGTCCCAAGAGTTGTCATAAGTCACTTCAAACCCCCAATCTCCCACACCACCCCCCCCATACCTCCCCGTAGTGTTTGTTGTGTTCTGCTAGAACATAGGCATCAGATACTTTGACACCTTATTGGTACCATCCCATTTGGGTACTTCAGCGTCTGCCACTAGCCTCCAGAGGCCAGGCTGTCTCAGTAGCTCTGTTCATGTGTTTATTAGCTATTCACAAATTCACATCCCACACTAGACTTTAGCTTTCCGTTGTTATCTTTTTTCAGTCAAAAGGCAAGATAACCACTTGCATACTTAGGTCATGAAAATTCCACCCTAAATAAATGTCTAAACCCAACAAATCTAACTGCCATGGAATGTGTTGGTGTAAAGAGAAATTCCCCCCTCAAAGCTGATAAATTTGTAGGACTGGGTGCAAATAATAATCTATTAAGATCAACAACACAGTACTTAAAACAAAATACTGATGTTTTCTCCATAATGAAAGTAAATTTTCTAAGGTCAGACACACCAGTGTTATGCAACCCAATGGGGAAAAAAATACTAATTTGCAAATGATGACTTATATTATTTAATATTTTAATATATATTTCATATTATTTGTAACCCCCAGTATTTTTATCTTATTAAATAGTTTGGGCTTTTCTCTCTCATTTCCAGAAAAAACAGTAGATTTATTTTCATCATCCAGACTAGCAAGAGGAGTAATTCTTAGACAAAGCACTTATTCTCTAACAATAGTCATCCTTTAATTGAAGGATATATTTTTTCAGTAAATATAGCAAAATAGATTTTTTTCTTTTATTACATTTGAGTTAAAATTTTACTTTTCCCTTCAGATTTCTTTCTTCTATGAGATGTCTTCCAAAGCATTACTAAAGTCCTGTTACATTGTGGACATGAAGGTTCCTTTGTAAAAATAGAAGCATAATAATTTGTTACTCTTGCAGGGATACTGTTTAGTCTGTAATGTGCTATGCCCATATAGCTATGGTTTCTCCCCCATATGTAAACTTGACTATTAGAACTGCACTTAGCCTAAATTGGACTACAGAATAATGGTTGATACTCATGCTTACTTTTTGGAACCCACCTGTCAAGTGTAAAATGCAATAATCATGGAGCCAGACCAGTTTACCTTTGACTGTGAACTAGTGAGCGGAAAGGATTGAGACCATCCTGAACACCATGTTTATGAGGGTTGTACAATTGTAAGTAGCATTGACACACAGTAGGTAGTTCAAAAGGCCTTTGCAGAAGTTGCAATACCTAGTGGTTTGAATTTCATCACTTTAATCTTCTAATTTTAATGTTACAATAAAGAAATGTCTGTTTTGCTACCAGAAATTAGAAAAACATTTGCTACCAGAACATTAGAAGTTAAAAAAAAAAAAACAAGTACCTACATTTTCTTTCTCTGGCTCTTCTTTTCCAGCCATAATGAAAGGAAAGTGACCTGTAAACATCCAGTCACGGGACAGCCCTCCCAGGACAATTGCATCTTCGTAGTGAACGAACAGTAAGTAAAGGCGTTTTCCTGCAATCACCTCTATTCCAGAGAATCTAAGTATAGAGATAGCAGAACACCATCTGTTTACTATGCGTGGTTTAGATACATGACTTCAGCTTTTTTCATGAGCAATAAACTTTCAGGAGCTGTTTCTACACTAGTTCAAACACAGATACTATTACAGAGAGCCTGACTGTGGATCTTCACCATGTGCTTAAGATTCAACTGCAGGCACATACACACAAAAAGGTTAATAATGGGTTTATTTACAAGGGAAAAGGGAAATGAAAGACTCAGAGAAAGAGAGAGAAAGATAAGTTAATTAATGCGTCCTATCAGTTCTGCTGACTTGGAACCCCAGTAACACACTGAAAACCAGTAAAAGCCAAGAGCATGGTCATGAGCCATACTAAGAGACTAGGAAGTAAGGTCAAAGAAACTGTACACTTGATCAAAATATTCATCTAATTTGAGCTCAGTTTTCTTCTCCTTAAATGGGATAATGGTCATTTACCATTTCTTGGCATGTTTAAAAGCTTCAAGTGAAGTTACTTGTAAAGATATTTTAATATATAAATCTATACATAGAATTTAGCTATTGACACTATTGTTACTGTTTGGAATACTAGAATAGTTTATCTTGTGAATAAAATTTTAATTTTCTGGTTTGATAACCAAGTAGCATCTGCAATGATAATAAAGTAAATATGACATTAACTTACGTTATGCTTAGAAGTGTTAGTTTTATATAAGTTCACTGTAAATATTAAGCTGTGACTCTAGGGCTTTTTTGAGCTCTGACTAGTATCCAACTGCTTTGAAAAAGTAGGACACCAGCTTTAACTCTAGGGAAGCTTTATTGTAAAGCAGTGCGCACACAGCAAGTTCCAGCTTTTTGATATGTATTTTTAGGACTGCTACAACCATGACATCTGAAGAAAAAAAGGAACGACCTCTAAGTATGATAAATGAAGCTTCAAATTATAATATGACTTCAGATTATGCAGTGCATCCTATGAGTCCTGTGGGCAGAGTAAGTTATTTTGCTTACTAAGTTATTTTGCTTACTATTAGTTATTGGTTACTGGTATAGAGTTATTTTGCTTACTATTAGTTATTGGTTACTGGTATAGTTGGTAATCAGTATTTATTGTGGTTACTCTTGTCCTTTTTTTTTTTTTTTAAAACGAAAACACAAAGAAGTTTAATGCTAGCGTGTATATCTCCTGTAGACCAAGGAACTTGCCATGTGGCTTCAGACCCCAGCTTGAATAATAGCTAAAACAAGAGGCTTTGGGGGGACATGGGGAAGAGAAAGGAGAGGTCATTTAGGGAGGTTACCACAGTAGATTAAAAATAAATGCAGAGTGATTATCTGAGTGTGGTGGGGGGCAGGAACAGTGGATAATAGTGGAGGGTTATGGGGTGTTCTGGTGGTGGGAGAGCCACAACTAAGGGAAGAAAGACTGTATTGTGAAAAAAATTTTCAAGATTCTAAATAAGAGTACCTCACTTAAAAAAAATAATAATAAAACTAAGTATGCATATTTAAATTCTCTTTTCACCTTTGAAAAAATAATAAGGTCTTCCTGGGACAATACAATGTCCTTAAGGGAAAGTCCTTTTCCTTTGTACTGTTTTTCCCCAATGCTCCACCTCCACCCAGCCTTCAGCACCTCTCCCATGTGAAATTAAACCATGTGTTCAGTTTCTGGAGACAGTCCTATAGTGGTGGGTCCCAAAGTTAAGTCTGCGTTGTGCAAGCTAAAGCATTCCTGAGGATATAAAAGAAAAACAAAAGATTGAATCAAACCTAAAGTCTGTTCATCCTGATGGAAGCCTGTCAAGATTTCTAAATATTGGGGGTTGAGTCTCCTTCACATGGAGAAGGGGGCAGGCAGTGGTTTTGCATCTGCCGTTGAATGTCATCTGGAATTTAAGAGCATTGCCACAGCCCTTGTGGTAAGAGTTTTCTGAAGTTGATAATAAGTTCCATTTCCAGCTTGTATGATTTCAGAAAAATACAGTTTTAGTTTCAAGTCAATCCAAGCCAAAAACATTGGGAGAAAAGTTGGAAACCATAGTTTGGAGTAACATAGCCAACCATTAGAAAAGGTTCAGAATCCCTTCCAATTCATAGATAAAAGGCAAAGACCTCAAAAATCATTGAGGACCGGAAACTAATGTCCACAGAAACTATGTTATTAAAACATTTTTCTCTCTACCTTCATTCCATTTCTACCAACTAGTCATAGTAAAATTCATTTATAAGTTTTTTATTATTGTTAAAAGCTTAAAATTATAGAATTAACATTTTATTTTTAATATTACATGAACTCAGTTACATCCAAGGTAATTGACAAAAAGCAGCAGTGGCTTAGAATATAGTAATAAGATTATATTTGAATAATTTAATGACTTACATTTAACAATTATTGTGGCATTTAGATTTTAAGTAAGTTTTAAAACAAATGAGCATTTGTATGAGAGAATGGTCAGTTTAGTGAACCAACTGAAGTTTTAAGGTGAAAATTAAGAGGATAGCCTAGAAATCACATCTTTAGTATTACATAGGTATAGATAAAAAAGACATAGTTGACTTAAGGTATAATTTGTATTATTTAAAAAGAAATGGAAAATCCCTCTACTGGAGGAAAGCCCTGGGCTCATTTGCTTGATGGCTCTGAAGTGAGGTGAACAGTACCACATCCACATGGAAATAGGAGCAGATAATTGTTCTTTATAATCAGTAACAAACATGTTAGTCATTTCCCCCAAAATCCAAGGTTGGTTTGTTTATAAAAACTGTGTAGCTATTGCTTCTTGTATTTTAAGCCGTGACATTCATGATTTAAATTTAGAATCTTAATAGAACATTTTCTCTGAACTCTTTACTATGAAATCTGAATAAATAAATATTTGCCCTGGAGTTACTCAGTTCTTGATTGAATAGAGAGAGACAGAATCACGGAATGATAAAAGAATGAGCTTCTGTTTCTTTGAAGTATATAGCAGTAAAACAGTTGTTTGGGTAAATGATGGTTATTTTCAAGGAAGGGATAATAGACAACTCTGTATTTAAAATGCCTGGAATTTTGTGGAATGGTACAAGCAAATGTAAATTTTCAGGTAATAGAAATCATTTCTAGCTATTGGACAACACAGCATGTTAGTAGGGTTGCTGAGCATTGTAATGCTGCATTGATATACTTTCACTGACATGTAGAAAAATAATTAGTAGATTGAGGCCCATTAGGTAATTGTCTGGAAAGAAGGTTGAATCCTTGTCTCATACTTTTATAGCAGAAAATTTCCAGATCAGGTGCTGAATTATTAAAAACAAAACTATGAAAGATTTAAACACAAAACAAGGAAAGATTTAAGGAGGATAAAACCCCTCAGAATGCTGAAGAGCTTCTAAAATATGATGTAAACCCAGAAGTAATGATAGAAAAATAATGAGAAATTCAGCCGCATTTAATTAATGTGCATACATAATATCTGCAATTCATTTAACAGTTATGGAGTACTTCCTCTGTAATTAGGAAAGTGCTATGAGTCAACACGAAAAAGGGATACAACCTGGTTTTTAAATGGACAAATTATATAAAATCGCTTCCCAGGTAGAAAGTAGAGCTTTGCTCTTCAGCATATGAAAAATATACTCACTTAATCATATCATGAAAAATGCTCATTAAAAAAGAAAGGAAAAAAAAACCCATTTCCCCCTTACCGGATTTGCAAAGTACAGTTCAGGTTAAAAGCACAGTATGTTGAAGAGAACATGTAAAAATGTGGGTGCTGGGCCTTAAAATTCTACTATGGGCTAATTACTACAAGCTTTACAAAACAAAATTATTCTGTTAACATGTGCTAGATTTCCAAAGATTACAGCTGATGCTGAAAAAATAAGGGATAGTGTGTTATTACTTTACTGCACAGAGAATTCAAATACAGCTTTATACTTCTAATCTTCGTTGGTTGCAACCTACCGTTCCCGCCAAAATGAATCTTCATGATAAATACAGCAGTACTTCAAAAGATTGTAAGTCCCTGTGTATACTTTGAAATGTACAGTAAACACCACCTGCCTCCTATCATTCAAGTTCAGAGTTGTCCAGAAAGAAAACAGAACATGACGTAAAGCAGACCCTTGCAGTCTTTCTATGGTGGGATACATGTTTATATTTTATATCAGTATTTGTCTTCTGACATGACACCATTAACTTTCTTTCATTGAAACACTACTAAATGTAGGTATAAGGGAAAATTAAAATCCGTCATTTGACTGATTCTTAAAGATGTGTTGCTGCGTTTCACTCGAGGTTCATTTAATGTAAGCAACCAATACGGCCACACACTGCCACATATTATGAAAGTGCTGTGAATCAACAAGAAAAAGGCATTCAACCCAATTTTAAGTGGAGAGAGTTGTCAAGTGGGCACACAGTAGTATGGCCAGATTTTTAAAAAGAGGCTGTAAAACTTGTGGTCCTTTCTCATATCCTGGGGGTGAAGAGTCCTTATGTCGAATTCTTAGCTGTGAAACAACAAAACAGTCACTTCTCTGAAAGGATTGGGTCCTGTGTGTCTTGGAGAAATCTGAAAAGGGGGTAAAATCACAAGGATGAAAAACAGATTTGAATATCTATGCGTTAATATCACATTTCCTGTTGTGCTTTGTTTAGTCTTCCCGGGCTTCAAAAAAAGTTCATAATTTTGGAAAGAGATCAAATTCTATTAAAAGGAACCCAAATGCACCTGTGGTCAGACGGGGCTGGCTTTATAAACAGGTATTTTTTTTTTTCTATTCTGTTTTATTTTGCTGAAAAGGGACAGAATCAAAAGAACAATTTCAGCAGAATATAGCTAAGAGAAGGGATATTACCCAGAACAGAGAGGGGGGAGGAGAAATCAGGATTTCTAGATCTAAAAATGAAATTATACTGTATGAAAATGTTAGTAATAACATGCTAAAGTGATCCAGGCAGAAATATTTTAAAAATGTGGAAAAGGCAACCATATAGTATTCACTTTGTATGCATCTGAAAATTATTAGCAAAATGTACAATTATATACTTCAGTGCTTTCGTTTATGTAGAAATCGGATCATAATTTGAGGTTTTTCTAATTTTTTCCAGATTTTTGCTTCTAAGTCCCTGTAACTACCCTATAAAGTGTCTGCCATTTTGTCTGTTAGCTCAATCATGGTTCACTCCCAGACAACCTGATAAGTTGTGTTTATCTTGTTACAACTAAGCTCTTTTGGAACTTTGTCATTACTTTTGGTCTTAGAAAGGTTGCAAGTAATGTTACCCTCTTGGACATCCTTACATCTTTTTTGACTTCTTAGAAACTGCTGTTTTCTTTTTTAACTTTCTCCTTTACAGCAGGTTTCATGTAACTGAGATGATATATTCAGCCTTCGAGGGCTTTAGCTGCCTTTGTGCTGTTTCTTTGATGCTACATGTGTATACAGGTGACATGGAGCAAGTCTAACATGTCTTCCTTGATGGTGCTAATTTATTCTGTTAAGTATTGCCAACCAGATTCAGATGACCCAATAATTTTATTCATTGACTTGTGCAATGAATTTTTTATGAAGCACTCATTAGAAATTGTTCCATTTGAAAACTGGGTGGCAGCTAAGCTAATATATTTGGAATGCATCCGAAAGTCCAGAGCATTTCTAATCATTCAAGTAAATTAGTTTTACCAATTTCTCAGTGAATTGATGGGGTATGTAATGTGGATACCAAGTTTAATGTTTTTATTTCAAAGATCACTTGCTGTGTGTTAGTGCCCGATACTTAAACTTATCCATGTTAAAAGACTTTTTGAGCTGACCTCGCTAATAGATGCAGATGATGCTCAAATAGCCTAGTGTAGCTGAACCTAGTAGAGGATGTGGAACTCCCTATTTAATATGATTCTTGCTCCTGTTTTGATGCCTTGGCTAATTTAGATTTGCAAAAGTGTTACCAGCGGGGCTGTCTACCATGAAGGTTACTGTGTAATAGGTATGGTTCTTAAAGACATTATTTGTTCTCTGGAACCACTTGAAAATGCAAACATTTTAATTGCCTATACAAGAAAGAACAGCACTGGGAAATTGAAACTGCCGTATACCATTCCATTATTTGGGGTGGGGGAGGTCCTTTCCTTGGTGTTATCTGTCGATTTTAAGGAGCATCTTTTACTTCAAGACAATTTTTTCACCCCAAAATTTCTTTAGTTTCAAGTTAATGAGAAGTAAATTAAGAAATACTAATTAGCACAGATCCAACTGGCTCTTCCTTCCTTTTTCTTGGGGGAGGGGTGCGGGGGGGGTGTATGTGTTTCATTTTCCCCTACAGTTTTGCTTTATTACAAGTTGGATGGAAATTTTTATTAAAATAGTAATTTTGTTGGAGCTTGGCGTTTTTATGAACTGAATTACTTAGGCAGAGCTGCCAAATGGGCACTCTTTCTGCAGCATGAGCAAAACCCAAACTGTAGATGCAAGAAGAAAGAAATGTTTATGAAATGTATCTGTATGCTAAGGTTCCTTTCTTCAAGTCATTTTAAATCACATTAGCTTTAGAACCTTTTCAGTTCACATATTTTTCTTCTTGTTGAAGATTAACATATTTATTAAATCTGGTTTACCAGATGCACACACCGTTGGTTAACTCAGCCTCAGACGGGTGTGTTCATTGGAGTGAATTTCAAATCACTTAGAATGTGAAACCCAACCAAATGCTTCAGCAGCGTGCCTTGTACGTGATGCTACTACTCTTTAGAAACCAATGTAATAGGAATATCTTATTAGGATCCATTTTTATTTTTTTGCATCTTGCTTTTAAAACTTAGTTTCAATAAATGAGTTCTAACTGTCTGAAATGAAAATATGTGCTTTAACATAGGACAGCACTGGTATGAAGCTGTGGAAGAAACGCTGGTTCGTGCTTTCCGATCTTTGCCTCTTTTATTACAGAGGTGAGTTTACCATAAACTGTCTTAGTATAGATATCTATAATTGCAGTGTACTTACTATATGATAGATGTTGGAACATTTTTTAAAAACTCTTCATTCTATTTTATTATCAAAAAAGAGTATCAAGAAAATCTTTTCTTCATGGACATATGATGCTGAGTAATTAATCAATAACAATATAGAGCTTCACCTTGATACTTTGGGAGGTTTGCTCCAGTTTCTGTAAAAGGGTGTGTTTTATATAAAAAGCATATGAATCTGCACGCAACAATAGGATCCTTGAATCTGCTGTCTCATCGACAATAATCATTGGTTACCATTCTTTTTACATGTCACCTTTGTCAGACTCCCTTTAGGGAAGGTCCATTGAGCACCTACTTTTCCCCAGTAATAGTCTTCTAGTATTGGAGACCACTATGATACACTTTGAAATAGCAGAAGTTACAAAAAATGTATTATGATTCCCCACACACACACGCTTTTTAAAAACAACAGTGACCTCCAGGAGACGTGGGAAACGCTGTGGAGGGGGTGCATGCAGGTAATTCTTGTCGCTGGGAAGGAAATAAAGATGTGTCATAGGCATGGACCAGTAATCAACATGAACCCCTTTACATTTTTTTTTAATGTTCATTTAACATCCCTCTGATGAACATTTCAGATGGCAGAATAATAAAACCACCCTTTGAATTTTGTAAAACCCCACAATTTTTAGACTTCCCCCTTATTTTTTCAGGTGTGAGCTTCACACCGCAACAAGTGTATATACTGCACAGCATACCCACGCCCGAAGGTCCAGCTTCATCTCCCACCATCCAGCTGACCCCGTACTCTTCCTCCCACCCCATGCCCGTTATAGTCCACAAAAAAGTGAATGTGTCTCTCTTTCTCTGACTTCTTTCACTTCAGCATAATTCCCCCAAGATCCATCCAGGTTGTTGTAACTGATATAACTGATTGCTGAGTAAACTCACATTTTTATATTTCATGGTTATTAAGTCCACGATTAGTGGTTCTAAGTGAAAGCCTGGAATCTTCTGTTGCAGTGCCACAGGGGCCTGTTAGATATGACAGAGTCCCTGCCTGACAAGGGCACAGGCACTCAGATCGTGCTCTCCGTGGGAACCAGCCTTAGCCGTTACAGAAAATCATAAATACATTTGGCCCCTTTCTCTCCCTACTTGAAATTCAGATTGGAAAGAAATCACTCCAGAGTTAGGTGATCCAGGATTAAGTAATAATTTATAGCTTTTTTAGCTAGTGTACCCCAATATGTCACAGGATTTTAGAACAGATTAGCAATTTTTTTTTAAACTTACTTTGTGGTGCCACAAAAAATTGCGTGACAAAGTTCTATGGCCAAAGCATTATACTAATGTTCTATATATAAAGCAATAAAATGCCTATTTCAAAATGCTCAGATTTTGAAATTACTAGGATCAAATTATTCTTTTTTTCCACTGCTGCGAGCTGTGTGGTTAAGGCATAGTGCTGAGTCAGAATTAACCAGATCTATAAAGTTTCATTTGGTTGCAGAGATGGCGTTCAGGCTGCAGTTGTGGTATTATCGTTCGCCAAGTGCCAAGCTGCTTCCTTCGAGGTTTGCCCACTCCTTCTGAAATTCAGGAGTATAACTCAAGCATTATTCCCAAGCTTATAATTCATACTTCCCTTCTGCTTTTTCAGTGTACTTATAGACTATTTAAGGCTTTAAGTCAGAACTAGAAAATGTTTGTTACTACTTATATAAAAAAAAATCTTAGTGTTAATTGGCAGCAGAAAGAACACATTTTAAGAACCTTGTAATTCAGTGTTGCTGCTCATGCAAAGGTGCAGTTCATTACTTTCATTAAAATAGGAAATTCTAATTTGAAAGTTCCGAAGCCATGCTGAGGATAAGATTCCTTATTACTACCATTGGCATTTCACATCCAATATGCTTACTCATTTTAATACAATTCCCCACACTGGAGGAAAGTGAAAAAGAAGAAAATAGAGAAGCATCATTTAGCTCAGTTCTGCTCTTCAATTAGTTGAAAAAAAGAATCTAAGTAGACATTTTCCCTCTTTTACCAACAATAAATGTCAGAGTTAAAATAACAGCCACAGATTTTAGTGAACTGGTCCTGTATATAGTTTGCCTTGTAGAGTGTTTATGCTAAACAATTACATAGAATGTCTGTGTATTCTGCCCTCACAGCCACCTGTTGAGCAGGTGGCGGTTATGTTCATTTCACACAGAGAAAGATAGAGGGGCAGTGCAGACTCAAATAGATAAGCCAGACCATGGTGGGCTTTGAGGATGATACAGTTATGATACAGGAAGGTCTGTTGGAGCAAAGGTTAAAGACCACAAGATCCAGATGCAGTGAGGAGCCAGAACCAGGAGAGCATTCCAGGTAGGGGGAGCATGAGAGCAAAGTTTGAAAAATTTAAAAGTGACAGTTGCAGAATGAGACCAATTTACCGAGCTGTGGGGCTAACATAGGGAAGTGGAAGCTTGGGGAAAAGGGAGATCTCTGTAGAATTTTGGAGTCTACAAAAAATTCCATAGGGAAGCCATCAGAATATGAGCTCAAGAGTGAGATGCTTGGATTGAAACCAGCCAGCTGCTGGCAGAGCGTGGATCACGAAGAAGGAAAGAAGCAGAGACTTGTTCGGAGTTACCCTAATGCCTGATAACTGCTTAGACTAAGGGGTTATCAAGCAGTGAGCACTTCTGACATCTGTTGAAGCAGAGGTGGAGCTCACCAGTAAGTTGAAGGGGAAGGCTGGTCAGTGTTCTGTTGTGCTGAATGAATGGTGACCAGGCCTGTGTAAGGAAAGGGTAGGGGGGAGGGATGATAGAGGCCAAGTGCCTGCATGCAGAGTGTGAGTGAGTGGCCCATCTGTAAAATAGGTCATGGTGCAAGTAGAGATGTTCTTCTGAAAACCTCAGAGAAGAAAAGGCTAAAATGTAGATGAAGGTATGAGACACGTTTGTTTGCCTGATTAATTTAATCTCTAGCTCAAGAATAGTGATAGGCTAAAGGGCACTCTGTGGGATAACTACCCTAGCACTTGAACAAGAAGCCCAGAAAGCATTTAACAGAATCTAGTCATGTCTTCCAATTGAGAAATGGCAATGAGTAATAATACTCCAGTCTGAGAGTTAATTACCCAACCACAGTTGTTATGTATTTCTTGTCTTATTCCCAGATACCTTTACAGCAGAAATGGAAATGAGAAATCAAAAGTGTCCCTTGAGTTCTGTGTAATGTTAAGATTCTTATGGTTCCTGTCCCAAGTTGTGTTCCCCAGAAAGCCAACTCTGTGATGGAGGTGAATGTGCAAGAGGCTTATAGGGGATTTTCTTGGGACTACTCTCTTTGGGAGGAGAGGAGGGAAGGGAGGGAATGAAAGGCTGTGGGGGAAGCTGGACAACAATGTCCACTAAAAAAAGCCTTGCCTGCCCCTTGGATGCAGACAACCCAAATGCCCAAAAACAGGTGACTGGGTCAAGATGTGTTTTGTGTGTGTGTGTGTGTGTGTGTGCGCGCGCGTACTATTCAGCATTCAGAAAGATAAACTCATGCCATTCGCTGCAAAATGGATGGAGAGATTATGATCAGGGATTATGTTCAGTGAAATAAGTCAGAAGGAAACAGAAAGCTATCAGATCGTTTCATTTATAGGGGAACCAAATAAGGGGGAAAATGATAACAATAAATTTTTAAAAACAGGCAACTATAAATCAGAGACATTCTGCAGGGGAGGGAAAGAAAGAGGGATAAAAACAAGGAGGGAAGGGGACAAGGGACTATGGTGTGGTGCACAGGTGAATGGGTGGTGGGAATTCTGTGGCTTACACTTGAGGAGAAATCAAACTGTACAAAAATGAACAAAGTTGTAAAACATATGTAAATAAATAAATTATTTAAAAAACTAAATAGGACTTTATAATGGGGGGGGAGAGAACTCTCAGGATGGTCATTCAACAGAAGCTGAAGATTTTATGCGAGCACCTAATGTAGCCTTACATAATGACTGTGGGTGGGGATCCTTAGGATGGTGAACTCATTTAACCCTCACAACAACTTGGAGGTAAGTTCTGTGTTCCCCATTGAGGATGAAACCAAGATACTGAGCATTGGTGACCTGCCCAAAATTCAGTATCAGCTGCGAACAGCCCAGGAGAATCACTGTGTCCTTGACCACCTCCCTGCATGCTGAAGTCACTGAAAAGTTAATTTTTCCAATTATGCAATGTAGAATTACAAATTATTTGATAAAAATGATTTTAGTAGAGATGACCTCATGAGCTGTTTCTGAGTCCATAAACATAACATTGGATTTGAAATTAAAACATGATGTCTTTTTAAATTACCTAAAGTCTCTGTCTTCTGTGATTGAAAAATGCTTTCTACCCTTTTTATGTTGTAGACTAAATTTGCATTTTGTTCATTCTTTCTTACATTAATAAGCTGTACAGAAGGAGCACAGTAGAGTATAAGCAAAATATTACTCCATTGTAAGAAAAACAGTAAGAAGCAACGTCTATTTAACGCAACTTTTTTTCTCTTAGAATTTTCACCATGTAGTCTAGAAAAGAGGGGAAATAAATAAAATCCCTCATTAAGTTTATGATAATTAAAAAAAAACATATGGCAAGCATACCAAGAATTACTTCTCATGTATGGTTCTTTTCATTGGTGAGTTCACCAGCCTAGCGCACAGCTCTGTAACTTGTCTTCTGGGTCTCTTACAATGAGCGCTGTGTTTCAGATTCCATAAACATCTCTGCCTCCAGGCAGCAAGTCAGTAATGGGAGTGTGTCCGGTGCCAAGATCAATGTGCTGTCATTTGCCTGTGTGTATTGTATGTGCCTGCCTTGTAGGCCTGTGATTTATCTCCTATAATTTTACTATATATTAGAATGACTGGTTGAAGCAGACCTTTAAGACTATTTGTTTTTATAAGCATATCATTTTTAAAGTGTCATTTAAAAGATGTATGTGTACTCCAAGATTTTCTGAGCCTCTGCTACCGTTGTTCTAAATGTCTTCGTGGAGTTTACATTCTATTGGGAAGAGTGAGGTGATGGACACATACGTAAATCACTAAAATATTTATAATGTGTCAGGAATGGACAGTGGGACGTATGGGGCAGAGGGCATCTTAATGTGGGAAAGCTGAGGAAAATCTCATCAAGGAAACTCAGAGCCCAGTTGAAAAGGTGTAAGCAAACATTTAAATCTTACCATAAATGTAGGTTGGTTTCATATTTTAGCTTCTCTGTTGTTACTCATATGTTAATGTATTGCCAGTGGCAAAGGGCTTTGTAGACTGCAGGCTCTATGCCAAACAAATACAGGCTGTTTTGGGATCTAATTGACACTTTTCCTCAACTGTGTGAGCAATTTCTGATTTGCTTAGGATGAGGAAGCTTGTTAAAAATAAATAAGTGTATACATTTCCACTATTTAATGTTTTCCCCTAAGATCTTATAAAGAAGTGCCTAAATAATAAGTGAGTTCAGTTCATTTATAATAAGAACCTTAAATAAGTTTTGAGAAAATTTATTTTGCTTCATGGGGACATTTAATATTCTAATCAGATACTAAACTATCTCACAGATGAGAAGGAAGAAGGTATCCTGGGAAGCATACTATTACCCAGTTTTCAGATAGCCATGCTTACCTCTGAGGATCACATTAACCGCAAATACGCTTTTAAGGTAAGGAGATCATATATTTTTATTCAGATATTGACATAGTCAATTATAAATGTAAACTGACCCACAGATGATTGCGAAAGAAGTTTCTGTTACAGTCTATTTTCTTTTTAAAACACATTAACGGGGCCCTCCTTGGTGGTGCAGTAGGTTAAAGCACAGCGCTATGAAGCTGTAGCAGCCACTGCAGCACGAGTTCAGTTCCCAGCAGGGAGCTGACCCCCACATGGTGCAGTAGACCTCTCCTGACCTGCCCAATGCTCCCCTCAGCAGTGTATTTCACTGGATCTGTCTGTTCTGCTCCCCACTCTATCTCTGGTGAATCCTTTCACACCCCACACCTCTGACCTGTACCCCACTTCTGTATGCATAAGTAAATAAATCTTTTTAAAAATGAAATACATTAATGCAGTGGTCTCCTAGGAGGAAGCTCCTTCAAGTAGGAAGCAGGTGTGCAGATATTTAGAAGTCCAGGTGTCTTTATGTCTATACTTTCAGGTATCTCTAGATAAATCAAATGTGTCAGAATGCTAATAATGATGAATATAGCTGTGAATGTCTTGATTATCACTGTGATATTTTTAAAGGCTTCTGTATGGATTTCTTCATAATAAATTTGGGAGAGTTTTATAAGAGTCAACCACTTTTTTTTTTTTTAAGATTTATTTATTTGTGCATACAGAACTGGGGTACAGTCCAGAGGCTCAGGGACAGCGAGAGGTTTCACCATAGACAGAGTGGGGAGCAGAACAGGCAGGTTGATGAAGTACACTGCTGAGGGGAGCAGCGGGCGGGTCAGGAGAGGTCTGCCACGCCATGTGGTCACCTCTGGGGCAGGCGGGAATCAAACTCATGCAGAAGTGGCTTTAGTTTCTCAGTGCTGCGCTTTAACCCGCTGCGCTTTAACCTGCTGCACCACCAGGGAGGGCCACTTTTTTTTTTTTTAACATAGTTTGTATATACTTACAATTTTATAGACTCTTGCAGAAATGTTCTTAGTTTGAAGTACATCATTCACATCAGGTACTATTGTGACAGTATTAAAGTTGAAATGTTAAATCTTACTAAATCCAGACAGACCTGAGCCTCTAAATCCAGACAGACCCAAGGCTCCCTTCCCTGACTGACACTATCTTCTCTATGATGTGCTAATTTGTGGGACACCCACACAGGAACACCATTGTTATGTTCATTTGATTGTGTGGGTTTCAAAAAAATATTTTACTTACTTGTATACAAGAACTGGGGTACAAGCCAGTGGTACAGGTGGGAGTGTGTGAGAGGATTCACCAGAAACAGAAAGGGAAGCAGAACAGGTGGAACTACTGAAATACACTGCTGAGAGGAGCAGCAGGTGAGACAGGAGTGGTCTGCTGGGCCATGTGGGCCCAAGGCTTCAGAGTGCTCAGACTTTAACCCCTGCACCACCAGGAAGGCCCCATTTCATTGTTTTTTGTTTTCAAAACCCAAGCTTCACTGTTTGCTTTGCTTATAATGAGATAAGTTTCAGAGGTCTTCTATGCTGTAAGTCAGTCTTAAGTGAAGTTCTATAAACACTTTAAGTAAAGATAACATGTTTAGAGAAAAGAGGGAAGTAAGGGTGATAATGCCATTACTTAACAACAGGACTGTTCTTAGTTGTGTGACTGATTTATAACTTTTGCTAATTAATGTGTTAGACTATTGACTGTGAAGGAAGAAGGCAGGAAAGATATATTAGTGGGGGAATGATGGGTAACAGCCCCCACGTGAGTCATACTCAATACTCTTTAACAGTGTCATCCAGGGAAACACATTTTGAGATGTCATAGCAAAGTTTAATACTGAAAAAATAATAACTTTATAAAGTCTATATGTAGAACAGTGTGGTCTTACTGCTTATTTTAGGCAGGGGGTTTAAATTTTTTGTTTGCTCATCAATTTGGCAAATACGGAATCTGTAGTTTGTAGACCGTTTTCTAGGTTTTTCAGACTCATTAATAATACTAGACTTAAAATAGCAATAAAAGTGACTATGCTAAGTGCATTTCTTTAGTATTTATTTAACTTTTGTATGTAACAAGAACAGTAATTTCTGTTTCAAATTCTCTTTTCTGTGGTGGTGTTTCCTCTGAATTTGTGAGCCACTTTTATTATTGAGTCTGATGTTGGTGCTACTGCTTATCCAAATGGTAAGTAGAAAGTTCATAGACAACAGTTGAACACAGTGCTGCTACTTGAATCTGTTTATGAACTTGGCCATGATGTAGTATTTCCTCTGGCAGATGACAGACATAGGTATGATTTGTTTAGGTCAAAGTTAGGGCTCCAAATAAATCTCTCAACCCAGTGTCCTTTTGTTTGTTGCAAATGTGAGCCGTGGCTGTTAATTCCTTTATCCAAAACCCACTCAGACAGACATAGCTGGTTTTTTATCTCTCCCATGATCCAGAGAGGTTTGTTGCTTATCTAGTTATTTTGATTTTAGTGTTATATCCTGATTCTTCTGGAGAAAAAGAAAACTTGGAGAAGCTAATTTGACATTGTCAATCAGGCAGATAGCTGCGATCTCAGAGTAAAGTGTGAGGCTCCAGATTGATTCATCTTTTTATATTTAGCAGACTAACTTATATACTTAGTATCTTCCTTTTACCTCATTCTGTACTGAAATAGCCTTTGTTTATTTTGCCTTGTCTTTGAGTATCTTGTAGGAAATCACAGGCATTTTAAAATGGAGTTTGAGATTGTTTCCCCCACGGGACCCCCTGCCACATCCCCTCTTCCTGACATAGCTGCCACTGCTGTGAGGTCTCTGGGGGTCCACGCTGAGCCTTCAGTGCCCATTTCTTGGTTAGCGAACTCTCACCAGCTTCTTGACTTGTTTTAATTTTGTTTCACCATAAAGCATAAACAGTTGTCTACTTAACAGTTGTCCCCCTAGGCCCTCCATCATGAATCCAAGATTTTAACTCTGTAAACTCAGAAGAAAAGTTCATGAGAAATGCCATTGTGAATCATTTGTAAACCTTTTATGTTTATGTGTAGCTGTCTATACAGATTAGACAAAATACTGCAACAGCAGCACCTTTTGAGGACTGAAGGAATTATTAGCACATGCTACCATGTGTACTTTTCAGTTTGTTGCTGGTTGAATGGAGCAGGTTGAAGTTGAGGTGGGTTGTTGTTCATGGAACAGGCACCACCCACTGTACTTCTTAACCTCCTTTCCTTCCCATATACTTTTTGGTTTTAGTTTTGAAAGAAAAATGGTGAATGAAGGTAAAAAAAAGTTAAGATTCCTCTATTTTTTAAGATTGCGTTACCTTTTTCTTAAGTCATTCATTGCCATGTCTATCTATAAGCAAGTCGGGTTTTTTGAAAGTTGATAGTGGTGACTTATGTAGGGAACCATTTAATTTTCTTTCTTTTCCTCCTACAGATCCCGTATTTCTATTAAAAGTGATCGTGTCCTTTTCAATCAGGCAGCCCACCCAAACATGCGGACCTATTATTTCTGCACCGATACAGGAAAGGAAATGGAGTTGTGGATGAAAGCCATGTTAGATGCTGCCCTTGTACAGACAGAACCTGTGAAAAGGTACAGGCTTGTAGGGGAAACAGTGGTGATTTCCACCTACATTTTATTCCATGCCTTGCAGGGATGTCATTATCATAGTACATGTCATATTAGTAGTCATTAAATGAAATCATTTTTCCTCAGAAAGTACAAATTAATTCATGTTCTATAATAAATTAATGCACCTCTGGTTAGATTGAGACCCACCTACATCTTTATCCCACCTTTCCTCTTCACTTATTTTCACCTATGAGTGTACTGAGGTGAATCCAGAATCCTAACTTTCAAACTGAATGTTCTTTCTTCTTACAGAATTACCTTTAATTTCCGGTAAGTACATTTTTTTTGATTGTTTTCTTAAAGCTACACAAGGCAGTATTTCTTAAGGCCCTAACTAAATTTTAGAAACAAGTTTATTCTTATGAAGTAATTTATTGTGTTTTTATATTATGTTGTAATTTTTTTTGAAGTTTAATAAGTGGCCATAAAAATTGTTGGTGAATTTCATTTCTTCAGCATTTCTGGGTTCACTCTGATTGGTTTGTAATAAAAATTTCCAGAAAATAGTTCATCAAGCATTTAGATTTCTAAATATATCTTCTTTCTGGTGAATCCTACCTCTTTTCTCTTAGTGAATCCTCTTAGTGAATCCTACCTCTTTTCTTTGGAAACACCAATACTCAGATTTGTTGGTAATATAATATATTAAATATGTACTGTTACAATCAATCTGTTATTTTCCTTCTGCTTGAACATATGAATCATTTTAATATTAACTATATTAAGAACTAGTGAGAGGAAATCTGTTTCTAAAACTACATAAATAGCAGCTGAAAGATACTCTTTGAAAAAGATTATTTTCCTATAATTTGAAGAAAGAGCTATCGTACAACTACATTTTTTTTTTTTCAGTCATTTGCAACTGAGTGTGTGTCTTATACAGGAAGATGCTAGCTGATGGGTTTGGGCATTTTCCCTTCTTTTCAGTCCAAATCAACTTAACCAAAGAGGTAGGGGACACTCTGAAGAGGAAAGGAAGGGGCCCAGGCTTGAACTCAAGGCCCCTAATTTTAAGGAAGAGCACCAAAATGTTGTATGTTACACTTATTTTAGAATTTCAACTTCCATTTTCTTGTCTCAGAATTTTCACATTAGAAAAGTGATAAAAATGACAGTCCTTTTGGCAGCCTATAGTTAGATGATTTTTGTGTCCATAACAGTTTTTAGCCAGTTGTATGGGTGTAATTTGCTCAGTTTCCCCAGGAATTATTGAATTCCACTTATCTTGGTGGAGGTCACCATTGTCTGGTAGAAATTGCGTCTTCTAGCTCTTGGTACTTTCTCCTGTCCTATTGTCTTGAATCATTTCGATAAAATGTACCTAGTTATTATAATAGGTGACTGTAGGGAGCTTTTATTTACTTAGTTTCAAGGCAATAGGCTATTTTCTGTGTGGCCAGAGTACTTAGAAATATTTGTCAGGGCATGTCACCTGAGAGATAAAACATCAGTTTTTACCTAAATGGCTCATTTCTTCTAAATTTATTCAGTATTTAACCTGTGCATTGCAATATCGTAGTCCTTCAGTGTGTGAAACACTGATGACATTAAAAAATACAAGCACAGTTTACAACTGCTGAGTAATTTTCATCTCCAAGCCCATTCTTTTCATTTTGTATTATTCTTATGTCCTCTGCAGTAACTTCTATGTCATTTTTTCTACTTAGATCGCAAGTTTCATATTATTTATATTATCCTGGCATACATTTCTGAATCAGCTTTGTTCCAGCTAAAGAAGAATCAGCTCGTGTGTCTTTTTATTATATTTCTCAAATGACAGCTCTTTGGAAAGCATAGAGAAAAAAAAGTCAATACAACTCTTTAAAGTAATAGCTTCAGATAAACTAGAAGTAACTAAGTTTAAAATGTCTTTTTGTGTATTTGATAGTCAGTGCCATAACTACCATTACCCTGAACTTAACAAGATGAAAGGGTGTTTAATGTAAATCTTCACTGACTTCCTCCAGGGAAAGACCGTTCATAGCCCATCTTTGTAAGCTTGCCCCAGCGTCTAATATTAATATTGCCTATCACTTAAAAGCAGGAATAGTCCATAACTTTACTTCAAGAAAAATAGTCTCACTTCTTTTCATTTTTTGGTTCACTGATCATACTCCCAGCTCTCTGGATGTAGCTGTCCTGTGTGGCACACATACTTCCGACACCTCACTGAGTTGGCATCAGGGTCTCACCTAGGGTCCCCTTGCAGACTCATGTAGTGCAGTGTGGAAGGTTGGCAAATACCACAAGGCTCCCAGGGACACATGATCTCGGTAGTTTCATGCAGGTTTGGATTCTCAGCTTCATCTTGTCAGAGCTTAGAAGTGATTTGTCTCAGAAAAGCTGGTTCTCATCAGAAGTCCTCGATACTGAAGCCAGGGAGGTGAGCAGTGTGACTGCCGGGTGTCTGGGCACACTCTGTGAATCAGTAGGGTGGACTCTGCTCTGGAATGACTTGGTGAGATGGAATGATACTGGCAGTCACTTCGGAGGCCATCAGTGACCTGCTGGTCTGGCCCTGGCTCAAACCAGTGAGCTTGTGCAGCAGACAGTCACCCCACTTAGTGCAGGAGGGCGGGGCACCTGGAGATAGAAGCCACTCTGCAGGCTGCCCCTGAGAGATTGTAGCCCAGGCTCAAGCGTCAGCTTGGGTCACTGAAGGCCCCCTTTCCGGTGCAGTCATGCTCATGAGCCAGACTCAAGTTTGTCTTGTGATGAGCTCAGCCTCTTTGCTGCCAGCCATGCCGCTTATCTCCAGTGACTGTTGTTGATACTGTCGTGAGATCGTGTGGTTTCACTGTCAGAGAATAATCATAACTTATTTCCAGATTTCTAATGGTGAGGCACATGTCACTTTAAATCCTCCAGTACTTCATATGCCCTATATATTTTGTTTTCTTCCCCCCCCCCCGCACCCCTGCCACCCCATTTCTATTCCTACATTTTGATGTTGTACTTGAATTTTCACACCACCCTGGATCCGTGCAGACTGGTTCTCTATGACCCTTTTGGGTCCTTGGTAGAGTCAAAGGTAATTTTTCATTTTTCTAGATTGAATCCAGGAAAGCACATGTGTATGAATTCATCTGTTATACTGTGATCTCCTCCTCTAATTTCAGAGTGGACAAGGTTACCTCTGAAAATGCACCAAGTAAAGAAATCAATAACATCCCCAACCATAGAGTACTAATTAGACCAGAGGTCCAGAACAACCAGAAAAACAAGGAAATGAGCAAACATGAAGAAAAGAAGGCACTGGAAGCTGAAAAATATGGGTTTCAGAAGGATGGTCAGGATAGACCTTTAACAAAAATTAATAGCGTGAAGTTGAACTCTCTGCCATCTGAATATGATGGTGGCTCCACATGCCCGTTGCCAGTTGGACACTACAGGCCTGTCCACATGAACAGTGCAGAGAACAGGACCGTCAACGTCAGCCTGGCAGATCTTCGAGGCAGCAGTCACCACAGTGCAGGCCCTGTCCATGCAGAAGCTGACAGGGTCATACAGAGAACGAACTCCATGCAACAGCTGGAACAGTGGATTAAAATCCAGAAGGGCAGGGGACTTGAGGAAGAAAACAGGGGGTAAGTGTCCTGTCGCAATACCTCAGGAGCCAGGCGTCTCCACGCCGTGTTGGTGGGGTTGGTTCTGGATTGGAGATGCCCACATGACGCTCATCAAACTTTACATGACAAGGAGTCTTCCGACGCCCTGCTCTAGCCAAAGGGGAAGAAGCTGAGCTTGTGGGTAGAGACCATGCTTGTCTGGGACGCCTGTCTCCACCCCTTTCTTCCCTATCTTTTTCCCACCCTCTACCTTTGTGCAGACCTGTCCTCACACTCCCTGCCCTGTAGGTACTTGGAGCCACGCCAAGAGGCAGAGGCAGGTCCTCTGTGGACATGCTGGTCGAAGGCTTATGCTCTCTAGTTCTCAACCTCATTGCTCGTCTCTCTTAAGCTCATAAGCAGTACACATGACTCATGATAATGACCCATCCTCACATTAAATTGTTCCTGCACTGCTCGTCCTGTCATATATTTATTGTGTAACTACTATATGTTAATTGCAGAGCCAGAAGGTAAAATTATGAAAAGAAAAAGTCCATACTTCTCATGGAGCCTCGTTCTTCTCTAGTAGAGGAGGGAGCTAAATAAGTAAAAGCAGTGTTGGGGTAACAGATCCAGTAAAAGAGCAGCCAATGCTGGCTGTCCCGTTGCAGGGAGCAGCAAAGCCCTCCAAGAGTTCAGGCAGCCTTAGTGGAGGAAGTGACCTGCAATCTGAGAGACGAGTGTAGAGAACAGGAAAAGAATCTGCGGACATCCATCAGGGGTGGCTGCCGTCATGAGGGATGAGAAGCTGGTCGTGTGTAGACCAGCGTTTTATGAAGACCACTCTGGCCATGAATCCAGAAAATAAAGTGGCAAATTTCAAAAGTTATTGGAGAAATGGGAATGGAGAAAGGGGGGTGCATTCAAGATACAGTTAGCCAGACTAGTTGGTAAGTTGGCCAGAAGTGCTTGATTGCCACTCGTCCTCGGAATTAGTTGGGTTTATTGGGGGAGATTAGAAGGATGCCCCACTTTTTCGCCTGATTTTCAAGGAGTGTCTGGTACCTTTCACTGTATACATAAGATTTGGGAAGACAAGAGGGCTAGGGGCTTAACTTTGAGGTGTTTGTAGTTTGCATTTCCAAAGAGAGATCTGGACACAGGTAAGCGTCCACGTCATCATTCTATGAAAGTACTTAAAGGTAAGGATGAAATTAGGTGACGTCGTTGGTGTGAGGCACACCCAAATAGAGACTCACGATGTCCTAATACACAGGTGTTCATCGACGTTAACTGAACAGTCATTGTTGCTCTTACTGCACGGTAGTAGAAACCCAGAAAATAGTGACTCCACTAGTGCTTTGATTACAAGAAGACTACTTTCTGCGAAGAGGATTTGTTTAATTGGAAACTTCTGGGGTGTGGCAGAGTTCTCAGGATTTGCATGGTGTGGCAGGCCGCTGCTGGTAAATGGAGCCTCAGCCTGGGAAGGAACATGCACTGTTTATTTCTTAAGCTTTCACTTGAACGTAAAACACATTTTGCTTCATTTGAGTTCCTCCTTTTAGGAAAGAAAATCACTGAAGGAAATTGTACTTTCTGAAAAACTAGTCTCAAAATGCCAGAAAGCAGGTTGGATAAAAATAAACTTGAGCCACCCTGGGGGCTCATGGGGTTAAATCTGAGCACTATGAAGCTATCCGCAGCCTCTACAGCCTGAGTTCAATCCCCAGCCAGGGAGCTGACCCACACAATGTAGGTCAGCTACACTGACCTTGCCCGCTGCACCCTTCAGCAGTGTATTTCAGTAGATCTGCCTGTTCTTCCCACTCTGTTTCTGGTGAATCTTCTCACCAACCTCGCATCTCTAGCCTATACCCCAGTTTTTGAATGCATAAGTAAGTAAATCTTTAAAAAAATAAACTTGCCGGTAGTAACCTAACTTCTGGTTAAATTTCCTCAAAAGTGGTTCCAGAGATGGCAGAACCTGTTAAACTTCCCGATCAGTGATAGGTCAAGCTGAGTAGAAAGGGAGCTGACTGTTAATGACCATGTGATGCTTCACCTTCTGTAAACACCTCTGCAGTGGGGTTGAGCTCAGAGGTGTGGGAGGGGGAAGATTCATGGGAGACAGAGTGGGGAGCAGAACAGGCAGATTAACCAAAAGACACTGCTAAGGGGAGCAGCAGACGAGACAGGAGAGGTCTGCTGCACCACGTGGATCAGCTCCATACCTGGAAATCGAACTGGTGCCGCTATGGCTTCTAGCATCATAGTGCTTCCACTTAACCCTTTGCGGCACCAGGGAAGCCCTACATGTGTATTTTAGATTGAGAATGTATGTCCCTTCCCTATATGACTATTAATGGTCCCCCTTTCCCCAGTTATTTTCAGATGGGATCTGAAGTTACTGCTATTTATATTTTATTTGATACATATCTCTAGTGAGTGTCTGATCCTGAATGGTTTGCATGTTAACACCCCTGTGATAGTTCTGAAGTTAGGAATGAGCATGTAAGCCAGGGATGCTGGGGTGAGTTGCCCCAGTGCCAGTGCAGAGATGCCTGAGTGGAATTAGCTCACCTTCTTCCACAGGAGAGGGCTGAGGGGTTACAGAATGTGGGCTCTTTCCAGCTTCTGGTTTCTGTGTTAGGAGAGAAGGTGGGCGTAGGAAGGGAGCTCAAGCAGAGAAAAGATATTAAAAGAGTACCAGGTCAGTAACTTCACATCAAGTAGAAACCGTCTCTGGTCCATGTAGCAACATCTTTGACATTTTAGCACCCAGTAGGAAGTGACAAAATGTTGTGTAATTAGGCATGCATAATTGAAAAATAGGCTCTATGGTGAAAATAAGGTAAGGAGAAGAGAGATATTGACTGAGGATTGAAAGAAGTTGGGAGACCTCGTTAATGGGGTCCCAATTCTCCCACACTTGGTCCTCTAAACTACACTTGATTTGGGATACAAAATGCTGACATTTTGGATAATAAGGATACAAAAATATCATATCCGTAAACAAACTTGTGCCACTGATGGTCTCCATAATATAAATGAATGTTTATGATTTATTGCTCTTTTGAATCGACATTTCATTGTGGTTATTATTATTACTAAAAGTGTTAACTATATTTTCACTTAGACTCTGAATCATAACTATACCTATAGCTGAAGATAATGGGGAAGCAAAATGCTGACTTCGCTTAGCATTTTTGTTTGATGTTTTAAAATCCTTTCACATAATGGAGCTAACCTAGCCCCAAAGGTACTGATGTACCTCTTCCCACAGTCCTGCATGCGTCTGAAGGAAACGAGAGAACAGAACTGTCACTTATGCCTGCTCTGTGGCACACTCGGTAGCTGACTCCAGCTCACACTAGTGACCTGTCCCCGCTAACCTCATGATATGTATGGAATGATATTGTAGGAGTTCACTTACATAAAACATAAACAAGCTATAGCGATAGAATTGAAATTCCATCTTAAACAATCTTAACTGCTAAAAGAAATACAGTATCCTTGATACTTTTTTTAAAGGTTTATTTTATTTATTTATACATGTAAGAAGTAGGGTATAGGCAGGGGATGAGCAGGTTCACCAGAGGCAGAACCTTCCCCTCAGAGTGGGGAGCGAAACAGGCAGACCTGAAATACACTGCTGAGGGGAGCAGCGGGCGAGACAGGAGATGTCTGCTGTGCCATATGTGGGTCAGCTCCCTGGGCAGGGATCGAACTCTTGTCACAGTGGATAGCTTGATAGAGCTGAGACTTCAACCCTTGCTCCATCAGTAGTCCCCCAATATTCTTAATACTTTAAACCAACCTATATGTTGTATGGATTTGGTATTTTATGTAAGCCACATAGATGCCTTTTGCCAAATGGATTCTGATGTTGAATTTCTTTTTCTTTTTTATGGTTTGTACCATCCAGTTGAATTTCAGAAAGGGATGAAACTCTACTCATGAATTTACACCTCATGTAATACTTGATCTCATAGAATAAGAGCTCTGGTACATATGTTTTAACTCAACAGAAGAACGAGAATGTACTCTCACTTAGAATCAGGAAAATAACTCTCTGCTTCAGTTTTACAATCACTTATTCTTCCCCTTTTAGAGTCATTTCTTACCAAACGTTACCAAGGAACATGCCCAGCCACCGAGCTCAGCCCGTGGCCCGCTACCCCGAAGGTTACAGGACTCTCCCGAGAAACAGCAAGACCCGGCCCGAGAGCATCTGCAGCGTGACCCCGTCCACGCAGGACAGAGCAGGGGCGCCAGGCGCCGAGGACAAGCGGCGGTCTATGCGTGGAGACACCATGTGGCAACTCTACGAGTGGCAGCAGCGACAGTTTTATAATAAGCAGAGCACCCTCCCTCGACACGGGACCTTGACCAGCCCCAAAACCATGGTCAGCATTTCCGACCAGACCATGCACTCCATTCCCACCTCCCCCTCCCACGGTTCCATCGCCGCTTACCAGGGATACTCGCCTCAGCGGACGTACCGGTCAGAAGTGTCCTCCCCGATTCAGAGAGGAGACGTGACGATCGACCGCAGACTCAGGGCGCACCCCGCCAAGGTAAACATGGCTCCTCTTCGTCTCCTCTGCTCTGTGCAAAGTGCCTTTTGTTTCTAGCACGCCAGTCTTTTTCTCCCAAGGTGAAAGATAAAAAAATGGGGAGAAGGCTGTAAGCACGGCAGCTTTCGTTTTAAAAAATGAAGGGAGGTGGTTCCAAGTGCCAGTGTCTCCCGTGTAAAACCTAAGCTTGTGCTACTTTCTTTCGGGAGCACAGAACCTCGGAGAAGACAGTCGTGGTTCTCCTCTGCACCTTGCTGCATCTCAGCCACTCTTGCTGCAGATGAAGGCCCTGTACCTTTTCAGAGGCTCCTCAAACACGCCTGCCCTCTGGCACACCTGCAGTCAGGCATCAGGCTGCCATTCTTTGCTAAGATTATTAGTGCCCACCTCATTCCCTAACCAGCTGACTGACATATTGAAACAGTGATGTATCCAATTAATATTAGAATGACAGTGTTGCCTGGTGGATATTGCTTTCTGAAAAAAAAAACTAAAAATAGAGATCGCTTTTCAGTGAGTCCCTTATGTTGGCTTCAGCATCACTTCAAAAATTATCTGATGTGAATTCAAGCATTGGTTTTTATCATTTGACCCCTTCCCTGATGTCTGCTCTTGAGTGCAAAGGAATTTTTCTGGCTGCTTCTTTTTGATTCTAAATGATTGCTTGCCTTATACCATTTTAAAATGGAACTTTAATTCCCTTCTGACAGGCAGAAGCCCTCATTTGCATTATTGCATATTCGATAGTCACATAAAGACAAAATCGGGAGACAGTAATAAGTTCATCAGTAGTTTGTTTTGGAGGAAGCTTTAGTTCACCTCATTGGAAAAGGCCTCACCTTGAGCTCCATTGTAATAAAGTTCAATGATATGTCGCTTTATACATCCAAAGACTTAAATCATGTTTGATAAAAATGAAAACAGTATCAAGAGAAATATGATCCAGCAGCTTATTTGTGTGTAGCTAAAAAGTGACTGGGTTACATAGCCTCATAGTTTTGTTTTGTTTCTTTATATAAAGATTTATTTATTTAAGCATACAAGAACTGGAGCACAGGCCAGAGGTGCAGAGGGTGAGACGATTCACCAGAGAGGCTGGGAGCAGAATAGGCAGACTGACTGAAATACACTGCTGGCACTTACCTGGCAAGGGAGATACCACGATCATGAGGTGGTTTCCCAGGGCAAGGCTTACCCATTGCACTCCGGATGTGCTGACCCCTGAGATCTCCCCAAATATGGGAAACATGACTGCGTAATTTGTGGTAAGGGGGGACTGCATTTGCGCTCTCCCATGGTAACTTGGTTATTAAAAATTAGAGGGAAAAAAATACACTGCTGAGGGGAGCAGTGGGTAGGGCAGAAGTCCACCACCCACCTGGCTGGGGAATTGAACTCGTGCTGCATTGGCTGGGGATAGCTTCATAGTGCTGTGTTTAACCCATTGTGCTGGGGTGGGGTGGGGTGGGGGGGCCCCTCCATAGTCTCCTAGTTTTTAATGTTTCATATTGTTGACCAAAATTTCTCACCTGTTTCAACAACTAAGAAATGAATGTGTGCTCTCTAACCAGCTCCTTGTCAACTGTTTGTTTTCTCTTTCTCCTTCCAAAATTCTTTTCCAGCTTGCTGGGGTTTATTTATTTTTTTGCTGTTTTTCTTTTTTTTTTTTTTTAACATTTATTTTGTAGAAGAGCGGGGGTATAGGTCAGAGATGCAGGAGATGAGTGGATTCATCACAGAGTGGGGAGCAGAACAAGCAGATGTACTGAAATACACTGCTGAGGGGAGCAGCCGGTGGGTAGGAGAGGTCTGCTGCACCATGTGGGTCACTCCCTGCCTGGGATCAAACTCAGGCTGGAGCAGTGATAGCACTGAGACTATCCCTAGCCACCAGTGAGGCCCAAAATAACATTTCCATTTAAAAAACAATGATAGG